GTTAGCAAGGATGTGCAGAAAAGAGAACATTTTATGTACTATTGATGAGAATGTAAATTGATACAGCCATTATGGAAAACAGTATGGAGATTCCTCAAAAAATTAAAAATAGAACTACTTTATGATCTAGCAATCCCACTTCTTGATATATATTCAAAGGAAATAAAATACTGTCTCAAAGATATATCTGCACTCTCAAGTTCACTGCAGCATTATTAATAATAGCCAAGACATGGAAACAACCTAATTGTCGACAGGTGAATGAATAAAGAAACTGTGGTATATACATATAATGGAATATTATTCAGCCATAAAAAAGGAGGGAAATCCTGCCACTTGTAACATATATGAACCTGGAGGACATTGTGCTTAGTGAAATAAGCCAGACTCAGAAAGACAAATATTATATGATCTCAATAATATGTGGAATCTAAGAAAGTCCAACTCAGAAACAGAATAGAAAGGTGATTGCCAGGGGCTGGAGGGTGGGAAAATGGGGAGATGTTGGTTAAAGGATACAAACTTTTAGTTATACAGCGAATACCTTCTGGGGATCTAATGTACAGCATGCTGGTAACTAAGTTAATAATACTGTAGTTTATTCCTGAAATTTGATAAGAATAGATCTTAAGTGTTCCCACTTCAGGGGTGATAAATGTGTTAACTAACTTGATTGTGGGAATCATTTCACAATGTATATGTATATCAAATTATGATGTTGCACACCATAAATATTTATCACTTTATCAATTAAACCTCAGTAAAGCTGGGGGGAAATCCCCCAAATACTTGGGATCAAAAAAGGAATTCTGTAGGGAAATTTTTAAAATATTTTTAACTGAATTAAAATGAAAATACAGTATATCAAAATTTATGGAATACAGCTAAGCCCTGTTTATAAATTCGTAGCAGGAAACTTATAAATTTATGAGGGAAATTTATAACAAAATATTTATATTAGAAATGAAAGTAGTTTAAAATAAATAAGCTACAGTTCTACCTGAAGAACTAGGAAAAAAGAAAAAAAGCAAAGCAAGCAGAAAGAATAAAATAAAGAAAAATCAATAGAATAAGGAAAATAGAGAAAAACCAATGAAACCAAAATCTGGTTCTTTGAAAAAGATCAGTTAGTAAACCATTAACCAGCCTAACCAAGAAACAAAAAAGACACAGATTATCAGTATCAGGAATGAAAGAGGGAACATCACTATAAACTCTGTTTACTTATTTATTTTGGCAGCTGGGAACCGAACCATTGACCTTAGTGTTACAAGGTCTAACCAACTGAGCTAACCAGCCAGCCCAGCTATGGACTTTAAATGGCAATAAATTTGAAGACCTCAAGACACTACCAAAACTCACTTAAAAAACTAATAACCTGAATTGTCCTACATCTGCTAAAGAAGTTGAATTCATAGTTTAAAACCTTCCAGCAAAGAAATTTCCAGGCCCATATGTTCACAGGTAATTCTATCAAATAATACCAATTCTATACACATCTTCCACCTGTTGAAGGAGAGGGAATTCTGCCTAGCTCATGTTCTGATGCCAGCATTACATTAATACCAAAATTGGACAAAATAATTATTTTTTAAAACACTGCAGACTAGTATCCCTCATAAATACAGACACAGAAATTCTTAAAATATTAGTAAATCAAATCCAACAATATATTATATGAAACAGATAATACGTTATAACCAAGTGTGTATATGTAAGGTATGATCAAAAATGGAAAATCAATGTGATTCACCATATTAAACTAAAAGGAGAAACCATATGATCATCTCAATAGATGCAGAGAAAGCTTTTTACAAAATTCAACATTCATCCATGATTTAAAAACAAAACAACTCTCAGCAAAATAGTAATTATAAAGGGAACTTTCTTGCTCAGAGAAAGGACATCTTTTAAAAAACCTACAGCCAACATCATAATTATTAGTCAAAGATGAAATGTTTTTCCTCTAAAACTGGGAGCAAGGCAATGATGTCCATTCTCACCACTTCTATTCAACATTGTTATGGACACCCAAGCCCAAGCAATGAAGCAAGAAAAATAAAATAATCATATTGGAAGACATGAACTGAAATTTTTCACAGATACTATAATTTCTACATAGAAAATTCCAAGGAATCTACAAAAAAAAAAAAAAAGCTTTTAGAAACTAATAAATGAGTTTTGCAAAGTCTTGGAATATAAGTCCAATATATAAAGATCAATGATATTTCTATATACTACAAATGAATAATTGGAATTCAAATTTTATAAAACAGGATCATTTACATAGTACCAAGAAATTAAATAGGTATAAATCTAATAAAATATGTGCAGGATCTGTATGCTGAAAACTACAAAGCACTGTGAAAGAAATAAAAGACAACCAAAATAAATGAACCAATATACTGCAGTCCTCAGTCGGTAGACTCAAAGATGTCAATTCTCCCTGAACTGATCTACAAATTCAGTACCATCCAATTAAAATCCCAGAAGGATTTTTCTGTAGATAGCAATAAGGTGATTTTAAAACTTACATTGAAAGGCAAAAAAACATAGATTACATAATCATTCTTTGTGTCAGTTAACCAATTTCTTGTTAACCATCCCCCTCTACCCCTCCCCTCTTCCATCTCGTAACCACAGTTCTCTTCTCTCCTTCTAAAAGTTCAATGTATTGGGCCGGCCCGGTGGTGCACTGCTACAGTGCACCGCTTGGGAAGCGCGGCAGGCGCTCCCACCGAGGGTTTGGATCCCACATACAGACCGGCCGCTCACTGGCTGAGCGAGGCGTGGGAGCAACACCGAGGGTTGCGATCCCGTTGCCGGTCCCGGTCCGGTACGGGCGCGACACTGAGGGTTGCGATCCATTGCCGGTCACGAAAAAAGACAAAAAGGAAAAAAAAAAAAGAAAAAGAAAAGTTCAATGTATTATTGTGATTGTTGTTTTTTTTTCCTCTCTCTCTCTTTATTGTTTATTTATGGATTCGCGCTCCCGCCGAGGGTTCGGATCCCACATACAGACCGGCCGCTCACTGGCTGAGCGAGGCGTGGGAGCAACACCGAGGGTTGCGATCCCGTTGCCGGTCCCGGTCCGGTACGGGCGCGACACTGAGGGTTGCGATCCATTGCCGGTCACGAAAAAAGACAAAAAGGAAAAAAAAAAAAGAAAAAGAAAAGTTCAATGTATTATTGTGATTGTTGTTTTTTTTTCCTCTCTCTCTCTTTATTGTTTATTTATGGATTCAGCTCCCACTTATGAATGAGTACATGCAGTATTTCTCTTTCTGCCCCTGGGTTGTTTCATTTAGCATAATTTTCTCCAGGCTCATCGATGTTGCTGCAAATAGCAGAATTTCATTCTTTTTATGGCTTAGTATTCCATTGATTTTGTATAGTAATAATTAATAAGCTAACTATCCTGATCTGACCATCACACATTGTACACAACTATTGAAAGTCAACTTTATATTTCACATATATTTATAATAAATTATTTTTTAAAAAATTAATAAAAAATAAAATAAAGGGCCGGCCTGGTGGCGCACTGGAGAGTGCGCCGCTTGGGAGTGCGGTGGCGCTCCCGCCGAGGGTTCGGATCCCATGTGGAGACCTGTTCCCACTCACTGGCTGAGCGTGGTGCGGGCGCAACACCGAGGGTTGCAATCCCGTTGCCGGTCCCCGGTACAGGCGCAACACCAAGTGTTGTGATCCCGTTACCGGTCAGTAAAAAAGACAAAAAGGAAAAAATAAAATAAAAATAAAAAATAAAATAAAATAAAATACATTAAAAAAGAAACTAGCCCAAACAATTTTGAAAAAAGAAGAAAAAGAACTCCTGATTTCAAGAATTACTATAAAGCTACAGTAACCAAGATCATATGATATTGGCAAAAAGGTAGGAACATATATCAAAGGAAATTGATCCACACAAATATGGTCAAGTGACTCCCCCCCCCACCCCCCTAAAGAGCAAAGGCAATTCAATGGAGAAAGGATGGTGTTTTCTTAGCAAATGGTACTGGAACAATTACAGATTTAAATGCAAAAAAAAAAAAAAAAAAAAAAAAATCTTGCCCCTATCCCTCCCATTTCTCCTTTAATATAGAGAATGTATATTTGATTTGTATATGCCTACTTAGGATTTTAAAATGTTGTCTACTTTGTAAGTTACTGACATTTTATCCTGTCTGGAGCATCTGACATTGTTGACAGACCATCCTTTTATATTCCCTGTTTGGTTTCCATGACTCTATAGATTATGGTTTTCTCTTATCTCTGAACTTATTTGATAAAGCCAGTTAGAATGATGGAATGAAGTTAATAGTCACAATACATGCTTCAGGGTTTTTCATTCTCTAGAATGGACACATACCCTGTCCATGAGGATATATTGGTACTAGCTATGGTTTTAATGTTTGTCCCCTCCAATGTAATGTGACAGTGTTAAGAGTGGGAAATCCAACTATGGTATTTGAAAAGTGGGACCTTTAAGAGGTGATTGGATTGTGAGGCTATGCCTTCTTGAGTGGATTAGTCCATTCATGTATTAATGGGTTAATGGACTAATGGGTTATCAGGGAGTAGTCTGGGGGGTTTATAAGCAGAGGAGGAAAGCATGTAGAAATGCACTGTTGCTCAGCCTTCATTATGTGATACCCTGCATTGTGACAGTACTCTGGAGAGTTCCAAGAGTTCGCACAAAGAAGGCCCTCACCAGATGTGCCCCTCAACTGTGGACTTTCCAGCCTCCAAAACTGTAAGAAATATATTCTGTTTCTTTATAAATTACCCAGCTTCAGGTATTCTGTTATTAGCAACAAGAAATAGACTAATATAGTACTCCCTTAGTTTCACAAACTCAGTGACAAAATGATTTTCAAACTGGTAAATGTAAAGACTGAACTACAGTTCTTACCTGGCTGGTATTATAAATCATATACAATTTTTTAGGTTTTGTTTGTTTTGTTTTCCTTAATATAGCAACTAAGTGAAGAACATACCAAGGTCTTCATCAGTTGAATATATAAATGGTCTTAAATTTCCTCGAGTCTCCTTCACAAAATAATCAATGACACTGAAAAGGTTTGGGAGTGTTACCTGTATAGAGAAAGAGTGAAAGAAGGCTCAATGTCACCTGGGTAAAGATAGAGTAAGAGAAAGCTCAAATGGAATTTCATGAAGATTACCGCATATTTCCTGACCTCCAGAAGATCATGTCAGGACCTCACTTCAATGGCTTGCTGAATGATCATAGTTTTACCTATTCATGTATCTTATTTCTCCTTTCTAAGTGACCATGTATCAATTTTCTGTTGAGGAATTACCTTTCCCGTTGAATATAGTCTGGTGGACAATAACTAAATACCTTGCTTTCCCCAAGTAAGGCATAAGAATGTGACTCAAGGTAGGTCAGAAAATGCTGCCTTGAAATTTGAACTTGAGTTTAGGAACAAGAAAGGATAGCAGCTTCCTTCCTCATCTGAAGGTTCTTAGTACAAGTAACTGCTTCCTAGTCCCTGAAGATTTATCAGGCTTTCAGCTATTTTATGCTCTTATACTACATTTATTTTTACTTAAGTGAGCCATAGTTGGTTTCTTCTGCTTGAAATCAAAGAACTATTAAAGCCAGAGAATTTAAGCATTTTAATATCTCATTATAACAGGATCATTTACTGGTCTAGGAGTAACTGAAATGTGTCTCTACCGTCTAAACCAGATTTTTATACAAGTGAGATCAGGTTAAACCTGCATATCCCAGATAGCCTGAGGAGGAAAAAGAATTCACAAAAATACAATCTGGTTGAAGGGAAGGATTGGGAAAGATAAAAAGTGAAAGGATAATCCAGGCTGTTCATTTTCCTTACACTGTGGACTGTATGGGCTAATGACAGAAATAAGCCCCCATTTACCAGTTACAAAGACACATTGTTCTTCCCTGACCATTGCTTCTGGTCACTTGGTTATTTGGATTAGCAATCTAGTTCTCTGCCTTTTGCATTAGAACTTGTGTAAAAAGCTTAGTCAGGCATGGATCTGAGAAGTGAGAATCTCTGGGAGGCATTTACGGCAAAGCTGTATGTGGGCTGCCTGAATCTCCAGTTGCCTTGTTCTCTAAGGTTACAATCAAAGTATAAGAAATTCAACCACATTCTTCCTTTTTCTATTTAATCAACACAATGGGCCCAGAGAGGCAGAGGAATTAGAAGCTCAATTTTAGAGAAATATTATAAATATCTTCAAGATCCACCAGTTCTATTTAAGTGATATTCAGAGACATTATTCCTGGCCCAATCTTCCCACCACTGCAGCCTAAGATTACAGAGCTATATTCCCTTTTTTCCAGTATCCTGGAATGTAGGCCACATTGCCACACTCTGATTTGTTGAGACCACTGTAAATACTAGTTTTCTCATGGGCATTATAGGCATAATGATATCTACCTCGGGGTAATGATAAAGACTTAATTAGATAATATATACAAAATACTTAGTTCTGTGCCTAACATAGTTTCTGGTGGTTATGATATTATATCATTAGCACCATGATAAGCCAGCTGGGGGCGGGTGGGTAGAGGGATTGAAGACAAGAAACCCTTTCTTTGCTGGTACATTGCTATTAAGAGGGGATCCGAATTTCTGCATGGCAGGTATTAGAGAATTAGACATTCATGGATTTCTCCCCATTAGAAATAAGCATATTTAAATACTTATAATTGGGGAGCACTTTCCAATTCTGTTGGTTAGTGTTTCCCAGGCTGATCCTTATATTTGTCTCCCAATAAACTTCTCTAAAAATCAAAATAAATACTTATAATGGCAGGATGTAAAACAGATGTTTAACAAAAACAGTATTCTCTCTCTAAAACAATTGTATTGATAAATGAAAAGCAAAAAGAATTTTTAGAAGCAGATTATGTTCTACTTCACCTTGCCTGCCTGTTCTTGCATCTCACTTCTTACTATGTATATCTGCCACCTTCAGGGCTCCTTAACTTTGCTGCTTCCTGCCAGAACTAGGTTTCTAGGGAAGAAGTCTGCTTTTCCACTTTTCTTTGTATTCTTTAAGGTAGGTTTGAGAGGAATTGGGAGAAAGTTCATCAACAACAATAAAATAGCTACTTACAGGTTTTTCCAGTTCAATAGTGTAGTTTTTTCCTATGCTTATCACTTTGTAGTGCTTGATTCTTGGCATGCTAAGATGAAACAAATGGTTAATCTCCATTTGATTGTACAATTAGGTCAATGCAAACTAAAGTGAGTATAAAATAATACCTGTTTAGCAAACCTATGTTCCCATGACAACAAAAATTCTTGGTGGTTAGGCAACATTTTTAAAAATCCTTGGTGATTTTTGTTTTTCTATTTACCTGGTTTTCTATGTCTCTTTTGAGGGGGTTACACAGTAGAGATATAGGAAATCTAGGTCATCAAGTGGGTGAATGAGAAAGAATAACAGAGAAGAAAAAAGTAATCAAGATTTGAAAATCAGGCAGAAATACTTTTTTTAAATGTTAGTAACAATGAATTATTGAAAGAATTATTGAAAGAAAATTGTTTTCTACTCTACCTCATTACTAATCCAACCAGAAAGCCTTCGATCACTATTATTCCTGCTCGCTCATATACCACCCTGAATATCTGCTAAATTTGGGGCTGACTTAGAGATACAGAAAGTGCTAGGTCACTGTATGAACAATAGATGGGAATATAAGTACAGTAGATGAATCTTAATGTCTTTCTATAGCAGTCTAAATTATTAACACTCTAAATACATGGTATTTTATTGAGTATGAATGGCTTAAGAACAAGAAACACATTCTATTCATCTTTGTATTCAGCATTAGGCACACAACAAATATTTATGAAACTGAATTTAAAAAATTCTAGGAGCCCATCTCCTAGTGCTATCTGCTAGAACTAAATGAATTTATACTGAGAGCAGAAGTCAGTGTCCATGCCAATTAGTTGTGAACAACAGTATATTTGTCTTGAATTCCTTTAATTCATATGGCAAGAGTGTTAGCATCAAAGCTTTTCTAATGCTGAAAAGTTAACAGCTTTTATTTCACTGTCGTTTGTTCAACCAATTAATTCAACGTTTGTCCTATATACAGAAGCTGTCTAAGCAAAATTGTTCATCGGGTTAAGCTGGTCTACAGTCTACAGGGCCTTTTCACTTTTTTTTTTTTTTTTTAAAAGTCTCTTCTCTCTCCATTTCCAGTTCATACTCCTCTTGGACTGAACTACATAGAAGTCTTCTATTAAGGGACTCTCTTCCAGGGCCGGCCCCGTGGCGCACTCGGGAGAGTGTGGCGCTGGGAGCACAGCGACACTCCCGCCACGGGTTCAGATCCTATATAGGGATGGCTGATGTGCTCACTGGCTGAGCGCGGTGCAGGCGACACCAAGCCAAGGGTTGTGATCCCCTGCCTTTTCACTTTTTTTTTTTTTTTTTAAAAGTCTCTTCTCTCTCCATTTCCAGTTCATACTCCTCTTGGACTGAACTACATAGAAGTCTTCTATTAAGGGACTCTCTTCCAGGGCCGGCCCCGTGGCGCACTCGGGAGAGTGTGGCGCTGGGAGCACAGCGACACTCCCGCCACGGGTTTGGATCCTATATAGGAATGGCCGGTGCACTCACTGGCTGAGCACGGTGTGGGCAACACCACACCATGGGTTGCGATCCCCTTACCGGTCATGAAAAGACAAAAAAAATAATAATAATAATAAAGGAGTAAGGGACTCTCTTCCTCATCTACTACTATATCCAAATTTCCACTGTGATATCCAATTGCTAAACAATTAATTCCAATGGCCTACTTATAAAACATGAGGTAAAGCCTAACCAAACCCTCTCCCCTCCTACAAGAAAGTATTCCTTAATGCTGAAACTTCAGGAATCAGTTACAGACTGGTAAAGGAACTATTTTTGGACAGAAGAGATCTTACAAGTACCCTTTCAGGGTGGTTGGCCCTAGCTTTATCTTTACTCCAACCATAAAAAGGTCTTTTTAATCAGACAGTTATTTTTGAAAACTCTCCCCAGTTTCAATGAGAATTCCTGTATTCCTATGAAATAAGTGATTGCTATTCCTTTGGAGACTGAAAACTTGCTTCAGATTCTGGTTCTGTTATGCGTGCTCTCTGATCCTGTTTCTTCGTCTATAAAATGGAGATGGTTGTGTCTTGCCTCACAGGGCTGTTGTGAGTTAACGTTTGCAAAAATCTTAGTACAGTGTTTGGCACATTTAAGCACTCAGTAAATTATAAGTATTTTTTAATATGCATTAAATATATTGTTTTAATTTAGTAGTTTCTGTGAGTCTCAGCCTCTTCATTTGTAAAACATGGATAATACTGTCTCAAAGTTTTTATTGTGCCTGAAGAAAATGTTTGCCAGCACTCAAAGCAGGGCCCACAAATGCTAACTTATAAGGGGGGACAATGATTGTTGTTAGTAGCCATCATATCATCATCATTCATTGCAAAGCTGTGGGAAGAAAAGTGGCAAAGATCAACAGGGTCTCCTGGAACTTTTGACTAAAAGGACTAAATTCTGAAGCAGAAAATGAGATAGAAAATCAATTCCATTGAAGTTGCTTAGGCTTTTTCTCTCATTTTAGACCCTTTGCTTTTCTTTTATACTATGTTTTGTTTTTTCAGAGGAATAGAGAGAGGGAAAAAACAAGGTTAATAAAATTTGCTATATTAAGATTTCCTGATTATGACCTCAAAAAAGAAGTAACCAGTCTTTTAAAAAAAAAAAAAAAAGTGTGATCTTAAATGTGGTTATAAGTATTGTTCTTAGCTGCTGCTGCTTTTTTTGTTTTTTTGTTTGTTTGTTTGTTTGTTTTCTTAAAAGCCAGTCAAATTTAGCAGTGGGGGAGTTGTATACCAACTTCAGTGACACTAATATTAATAAGTTCTAATAACTCACTACCATCGGACCAGTTGTTCTTAGCATCTGCCCTCAATTTTTGCAAAGGAGTACATTTTGGGTAAATATGTATACTGCTTCTTTAACTAATGGCTTTCCAAAGTGTCTATACTACTAGACTGGCACCTAGTCCTAACAATCTCAAGAAAACAAAATCAAATCATGAAGTTTGTTCTAAGAATAGCTTCATGTCTTATGAATTCACACACCACCAGGCTGGGTAAAGGTAGATGATATTCTACACCGAGAGGAGTCAGCTATAATTTGACATTGAATGACTTTTATTTATTCCTGAGAACAACAGTCTTCCCTTCAACAGCTGATCTGTTAACAGATGGAGATAATTTTATTTTCAAGTATTGCTTTGTAAATCAACTTTTCCTTTTCAGCTACTGTTTTACCATATACAATCATCTGACTTGCAAAGGCGAACATTTCTCCTATAAACTGTAAGAGAATAAATTGGTTTCATAGGTGACACAGGTGCTTCCTAATAGTCTAGTTTTCTATCAAATTCTTTACAATAAACTCTACATTATAACAAGCTAAAATTCTAATACTCTCTATACTTGCTATACTTTAAAATTAAGTGACCCGTTAAATAGAAGATATTAAATCCATTTGTTCTAAAAGGACTGTTTTGAGGCATTAAAGAACATATCTTACAATCCTTAACATCACAGGCATATCTGGGTAATCCTAACAGTTAAAATTGTTCTTAGCCACTTCCAGGTGTAAACTATTCCCCAAAGCCTAAATAAGCACATACTGATTCCATGGCTACAATGCTTTAGCTTTGCCATTCTATCTCACTTCTTGCTTTCTAAATATCAACTTGGGGGGATGGGAGGAGTGATTAGTTTTATGAAATTTTAAAAGTTTTTGTGTTCACCAGACAAAAGCAAGAATTTCTGTATGAATTCAAACTGGAAGTGAATCTACTAAAATCACAGTGATATAACTTTGATGTGAACTCCTTTGCCAGACTTTCTTATAGTTAAAATATAGCTTAAGTATAATATAAATGTAAGTAAAAACTAAGACATTAAATTTATATCCTAAGTATAGAAACTCATTGAGTTTGGTCACAAACCACACCTACAGCAGAAAACACTGTTATTTTTCATACCTCAATTGTATGGAAAATGCAATGCAAAAGTTGGACTAATTTAGACCACCTTAAAAGAGATCAGGCTGCTATTGTAGAGGAAATATACAGTTTTTAAAGAGCAATCAGGTCTTGGGATTTTGCTCATTTTGTGCAGAATAGTAACACAGGATCAAACAGTTAGACCAATAAAGGAGTAACATGAAGGAAAAAAAAAATTAATCACTCTGGTATTATCTAATTTTGTTTTCAAGCAGTTAGATTGTGTTTCCTTTCAAAATCTGCTATATAAATTTTATTGTGTTATTGTTTTGTTTTTTCAGTGGCTGGCCAGTACAGGGATCCAAACCCACGGACCTTGGTATTGGAAGGCTGGACTCTAACCAACTCAGCTAACTGGCCAGCTTTATATACATTTTAATTCACATTTATATCATCTTATTTTTAAAAGTAGAAGTAAATAGTAAAGACTTTTTTTTTTGTTTTATGTGATACTCAATTTTCTTTTTATTTATTTATTTATTTATTTTTTATTTTGACTGGTAAGGAGATCGTAGCCCTTGGCTTGGTGCTGTCTGCACCACGCTCAGCCAGTGAGCGCACCAGCCATCCCTAAATAGGCTCCGAACCCCGCGGCCTCGGCGCTATTGAGCCCCGCGCTCTCCCGAGTGAGCCACGGGGCTGGCCCATAATTTTCTAAACCCTAAAAAAGTACAAACTCCTTGACCAGGATATACTAAATGGAAAAATCTACTTTCTCCCAGGAGTTTTTCTAAGGTCACTGATATTTAATGGAAGCCATACTTTTATTTCTTTTGGATTTGTTTCAAGATAGTTAATTAAATTATAAATCAAATAAGTTGTAACTGAAAAATCTATATTCGACCATATTTCAATGGAGTTGAAAACCCATTAACTCTAAATGTTAGCTTATAATAAAGAGAAAAAATAATGAAACCACAAGCAGGTTAAATTGACAGACATTCATTGTAGAAAAATACACAGATACTCACACACTCACATCTCTTACACACAGAACCAGGATCTGATTTACCAACTAATATTCTTGCCATCTGTTTAGTGCACATGCTAGTGTATAAATACAATTACTCTGTTTATACAGAGTAGTTGGCAATGAATGAAGTTTATTGGGCCATGGCTTATACCAGCAAGTGAGCCATAATACCATAATTTTACTTTTGTCCTGCAAGTGATTATTTTCTTTTTACTGCTTTTATCACTATTTATCAACCTATTTAAAATTATAGATATTTATGAGGTGAATTGATGGATAGATTCTTTGATAGATATGTTATAGTAAAAAAGTTAATAGAAGAATATTATCCCCATAAAGAGTAGAAAATTTAAGAATCAAATTCTGTTTATATTTTTATAGGAAAGATAATTATTTATTGAATATTTTCATATGGGCAAAACCCTCTATATTTTAATTATATTATCAGTTGTGAAAGGGTTAACTAAGCCAGAATCCCTATTGAAATGCGAGCTTTCATAGACTCTGAAAGCTGGTGTAGCTCTTAAAAGACCTAAGCACCCTAACTACACAGAAAAACCAACTTTTGCATGTGTTACTGACTTTATCAATGATAAGCCATTTTACCATGAAGAAATAATTAACCTTGACAAGAAGCTCCAAAGTGGTCATTTTAATAGATAAATCAGGTTATGTCAACAGTCTAGTGACCTCACATGTCATTCAGAGCAAAACCCTTGTCTCTGCAATAACCTATAGGGCTCTGAGTGATTTTTCTCTACCCTTACTTCTGGAATCTCATCTACTACTACTTTTCTCCTTGCTCAACTCCGTTGCAGTCTCAGTGGCCTCTTTCTGTTTCCTGAACAAGCCAAGCATTCTTCTGCCTCTGGACATATGCACCTGCTGCCTAGAACACTCTTGCCCCAGATATTGGCATGGTTTGTTCCCTCACTTCTTTCAGGTCTCTGCTTACATGTCAGTTAATAAAGTAGGCCTTCCCTGACCACCCTATACTAAAATAATAGCAGCCACAAAATTTTTTTCTATATATCACCTCTGAGGGTTCCCATCTCTCTCATCCTGCTTTATTTTACTCCATAGACTTTATCACCATATATATGATATTTTTAGTTATGTATTTATTTATAGTCTGCATTTCCCCACAAGAATGTAAAATCCTTGAAACCACGGATGTTGTTTTCTTCCCTGCTGTATCCACAATACCTAGAGCATTACTTGGTACATCATAGTCACTTAATAAGTATATGTTGAATCAAATGAATGAACTGTACAATTATATTCAAGACCAAAGTAATTTGCTCATTCTTTTCCCCTCCTTCAAATATTAGCTTTGGCTCAATCTTTAGTATTGCTTATGTGACATTCCCTCTCTATTCTTGTGTTCATATTTTTTTTAAAATAGAATACTTCACAAATTTGCATGTCATCCTTGCAAAGGGACATGCTAAACTTCTCAGTATGGTTCCAATTTTAGTATACATGTTGCCAAAGCAAGTACATTGTGTTCATGTTTCTAGCCCCAACAAAACCCATAGCAGGTGCTGATCTGAACTTGTGTGACTTTACTTTCTAAAGTGATACCACGTTTTAACAATTCCATGCATTTTTTTTATTATACATACTCTGTCTCCTGCCGGATAGTGATGGAGTAGTTTTTACTGTCACTACCAGGCCTCAAGATCATATTTCCCAAGGAAGGGTTCTTCTTGAGCATCTCAGTTGCTTCTTTCCGGGACACTGTATAAAAACATCTACAGAGGTGAGATAAAAAACGGAAATTTTATTAACTGATGAAGATTGCTACTTAAAAAACATGCTATCAAAATAACTTTGAGAGCTGCAGTTATTAACTTTTCTCAAAACTTCCAGCTTTATTTGGATCCCTGTACTGGCCAGCCACCAAAAAAAAAGTAAAAAGAAACCTTCCAGCTTTATTATTGCAATTATATAATTATAATTAGATATTGTTACAAACCAGTGCCACTACAAATATGCTAATGCTTAAGGTCCTGCCTCCCTCATTCCTCCAAAGCCTCTTTAAACAAAGACGACCTGAAAAGTTATCTACTGATTAGTATGTAATCACCATTACCATTTGAAAATCTAAGACAAGGGCTGGCTGGTTAGCTCAGTTGGTTACAGTGTGGTGTTTTAACACCAAGGTCAGGGGTTCGGATTCCTGTACCAGTCAGCTCACCCCTCCTCCACCCTCCCCCAAAGAAGAAAATCTAAAATAAGAATTAACAATGGATCCCCAGTCTCAGTGTATAAATAGGATCTTGGATAAATATTATAAATAAATGTATGTATTTTATTTATTTATTTATTTTTTCTAAAAGATGACCAGTAAGGGGATCTCAACCCTTGATTTGGTGTTGTCAGCACCAAGCTGTCCCAAGTGAGCTAACCAGCCATTCCTATATAGGGATCCGAACCCATGGCCTTGGTGTTATCAGCGCTACACTCTCCCAAGTGAGCCACAGGCTGGCCCTTGGATAAATATTTGTTGGTGATTTCCTTTCAGGGATTCAAAACACCTCTCAATGCTTCTATTGTATGGTCTTTGTTTTAAATAACTAATATTTAAGGACATGTCTGAACTCACTCCTTTTGGAGTGAGTCTTTCTATGGCATTGGTGGTATTTTTATGCACAAAATTTAAAAAGCACTTTCCATTTTTATAATATATATTGTAGTCAATGAAATATATGATCATAGGAAAAATCTGACAGTATATGCAATACACTTAAATGTTAACAACAAATGTCTCTGAATGGTGGGACTAAAAATATTTTTAATCTTTTTATTTATCTGTAATAAATATATATTACTTGTTTTATTGAGAAAAAAAGAAAAAGAAGCAGTCTGTGACTTTTAACCATCGGTCCCTCAGTTGTCATTGGTTTCAGCTAAAAGTGAGGGTTGGCAGGTTTCAGCAATAGTAGTATAGATAGAATATGCACCAGAACCTGATGTCGTAGATAGTACCAAGACAAGTTTCAATGACATGAACACCAAGATCTCAGGAGGAAAGGGCTCACAATCTTTTCAACAATATAAAAGATAAATGTATGGTGTTCCTGAATTCAGCATGGTCTCTGCTTCATTTTTCCAACAACATCTTACACATTTTATACAAGACCTTCCTCAGAATACAAGCTCAATGACTACTCACTGATTGGTCAATTGAATAGAACATCTCAAGTATTTAAAATTCTTTGGTATAATTTTCTGATAGAAAATTGGTCAATCATTGAGTTTCATTGTGAAAAAATATCTTTTCCTTTCTTCTTCATAGGAGTTTTTATTCAGGTTTGAGCTCTGGAAAGAATATCTATTTGGTCTTAAGTGTGGGTGGAAGGGGATTTCCTATGTGGTGAGAGGGTTAGTTTAAATCTATACTTTGTTGATCATGACATAGAAGAGGAAATGTGGCATGTACTCAGAGATATGCAGTTTATTTCCAAGACTGATTATTATCCCTTGTTTAATAAGGTCCTGACTGTTCTTGATAATTAGAAATTAGTCTTAACAATCAAATGAATAAACTAGATAAATTGTGCACTTACACTGGCATAGGGTTCAGTACATCCACATAATCTTCAACTGGTTCTTTCTCTTTCTCCATGGAAGTACTCGACAGCTGCTCTGTCTCAATCCTCCTTTTCTTCTCTCTCTCTAGGACTTCATGCAGTCTAATTACTTGCCCAGGTAAGAGTGACACTTGTTGGGGAACTGACAGCTAAAACCAATTCAAACAGTAAGCAAACAAGAAAGACAGCCAAATAACTTACTGATTTTAAAGATGAGCCTGTTCTCCTCCTAAGGAGCTTCAGTTACCTGACAGAGATGGATGGGTAGAATCACAAATAGAGGATCTTGGTCTTGCATGGGTGTCTTAGACCTACCTCTAAAACAACTAGAACTTACACGAGGTGCCCACCCTTCTTCCAAGAAATCTTCCTTTTGGTCTGGCCTCAAATCAAAGTATACCCACCTTGTACTACAAGTGAAGTAACAACAAACCTCTCATTTTTCATTCTAAGCACATGAGTTCATCAATGCTGGAAGTTCCAGAGCATCTGCAACGTGCCTCACTCTCTGACAAGTAACCTGGAATAAGCTCCACCGGCCATATGGCAACATAGGATTGAGATGGAACTATTCATGAGATGACTGAGGATTAGCAGAGGTCTATATTTTGGTGTGTTTGTGTGTGTGTTTCAAACATTCATTCACACATTACAATGATGGAACTTCTCTGATTAGTTGTTACCTTTTTTACAGATGTATTTTGGATTGAGTCACTTGAATTATATTCATACTTCAAATTTAAACCTCATTATGTCTAACTATGTGCTCTTGGAAAATGTAGTCTGAATGGTAGAATTCTTTTTTTTTTTTTTTTATGTAACACTAACTAGTCTGTACTTGGAGGCAGCCATGTCTGATTATCATCTTTATCTCCAGAGATGGGTGCATGCTTTCCAGGGGGTATTCAAGAAAGTCCATTGGTTTGGGAGGGGAGGAGAAAACATTAGAATTCCACTTTCTGGGTTGACCGGTTAGCTCAAGTTGGTTAGAGCATGGCCTTGTAATACCAAGGTCAAGGGTTCAGATCCCTGTACCAGCCAGCCAACAAAACAAAACAATAAAACCGCACTTTCTACTTAGTTACTGTATTAGTCCGTTTCCATTGCTTTTAACAAAATATCTGAAACTGGGTGATTTACAAAGAAAACAAAATTTATTGCTTACAGTTTCTCAGGCTGGAAAGTTCAAAGTCCATCTGGTGGTGGCAACAGTGACCCAGGGGTCTCACATTGCAAGATGGTAGAAGCAGAGAGAGCAAGGGAGGACAGACTCTCCTCTTCTTTTAAAGCCCTCAGAACCACACCCCTGACCACCATTTTTAATCCATTCACTACTGCAAGGTCCTACAATCCAATCACCTCTTCAAGGTTCCACCTTTCGTTTACCATAATAGGAATTCCCACCCTCTTAATAGTCACAGTGGGGGTTAAATTTCTAATATATAAGACCTGGGGAGCACAATTTAGGCTTCAAAGAGTTTGGGGAGGACATAATTCAATACATTACAGTTACTATTTCATTAATTCCTATTTTTGTTTATGTTTTATTATGTATATATGTACATATAAAATGTAAATAACAATTTCCTAATAGGGGTACACAATCAAAAAGGTTTAGAGATCATTCTTCTTGATAATTAAGCTAACTAGTAACTAGTAAAACTATTTTCTTATATACCAAACCAGAAAAAACAAAATAAGGGGGAAAAAAGTAATGAAACAGCTACTCAGTATTAATTGCCTATTATATTTTGAGCACTGTGCATGTGTTATTGTGAACCTCACAGCAATGCTACAAGACAGGTATTATACCCACTTTACAAATGAAAAACAATAAACAGGCTCAGAAAGATTAAATGACTAATCCAGTGTCACACAGCTAGTAAGTTGTGTAATCAGGACTCAAAATTGGGCTTATTTGTTTCCAAAGCTTTTTCAACTAGTCTGCGCTTCTCACACTTCTCTCCTAAAGTTCTCCTAATAACAACATAGTATGAATGTCCACATACAGTGATCTGGTACCATAGCACAAAACAACATTTAAAGAGCACAAAATTTGAGGCAACTTGTCTTCCCTTGAAAATTCACATGAATTTTATTTTATATTCTGTAATATATCTAGGTATGGTTTTTTGTTTTGTTTTGTTTTGTTTTTTGTGACAGGTAAGGGGATCGTAACCCTTGGCTTGGTGTCGTCTGCACCACAGTCAGCCAGTGAGCGCACCGGCCATCCCTATATAGGATCCGAACCCACGGCCACAGTGCACCCAGTGCCGCTCTCTCCCGAGTGAGCCACGGGGTTGGCCCTCCAGGTATGTTTTAATATAAAAAAATAATGCTTTTTATCCTTACCTCAAAGGAAAAAACTAAAAGCAAAATGTTTGGCCAGAACTTCAAGTGTAATTAGTGTACAGGGAAAATACACCAAGCTTTATCCAGTGGTTTTTGTGTACTCCTTGATACCGAGTCACACGCTCTTGGGATACACCCACCCCAGTGTAAGAAGCACCATGCCACACAATGATGCCTTTCCATAAGAGAAGGAAAGAATGGAATTCCACAAAGAATTTCTTCCCTCACTCTTCCCCCCTGCCATAAGAAAACATGTCCTTCACATTTTTAACTTGCCCACGTTTCTAGTCTCTTATAACTTCTCTACATGGTAGTTGGACCTCCAACTGTCACCTGTTACTGGCTGAAATAAAGAACCAGCATCCACCATCTTGGTAAAGTGCAGTGCTTATTTCATGTGACTACAAAGGCTTTACTTAGAAACTGGGTTTGTATAGAGTCTGTGTTTAAATGACTATAATAAACATGGAAAGTTTTTATATCCTCTAAAAGTATTAGAAAACATTGTGCTCTTTTGGGGGCTGGTTATCAAAGTATCTTGTGTTTCCAAGACAGTTGCTACAGTGACTTTAAAATAATGATAGTTATCTTGCTGCAGCAGTTAACTTTTAGCAGTAGATCTTACTATTTGCCTCTGATAAGATGCCAGAGTTGAACAGATAAGCATCCCTTTAAGACTCACTAAACAATTGTTAAAAGGTGATTTTTTCTTTTGATGGTCTCTCCTTTTTATATTGCCTATGCTATTTATAAAATTTATCTGTAAACATTTTCCATATATGTGTCAAATGAATAAGAAAGGAGTTGGAAAGTATTTTAGAAGATGTTATGTAAGCTACAAATACTCTTTGTAAAATGTACAAAGGACCACTGTGTTGAAAGGATAAGAGCAAAAATTAAATCTCCCTGGCCACCTGTTATTCCCTAATACATTGCCCGGTTTATTTTCTTCATAAGTTATCAAAATGTGAATTGATCATGTTTGTTTACTTTCTCCCTCTCCACCCACCTGATCAAAACATAACTTCCATGAGTAAGTACAAGAGTTTAGATCTGTCTTTTTCAATTGCTGTATCTTTAGCCTCTTTTACTCTGCATGGTTCATAGTAGGTGTTCAGCAAATATTTGTTAAATAAATGAATCAATGAAAAGTAATGATGTTCCTACCTGTGTTACCGTAAGAATGAAGCCTCTCCATTCTTCTCCACTTTCTGTGTTCTCTGTCTATAGATGAAGACAAAAACAGATAAAGACTAAGAAAACATATAAGTGACTATGAGAATTAATACTTTTATTAACTTTAAATAACTTTAGAGTTTCACATGATTCTTTTATGACTCTAAATAGGTAAGCCATCAAAACCTAGCATGATTGGCAAAATACATATTCTTCTATTGAAGCAAATAGTTTTAAAAAGGCATAATTCATTTTCCTTTTTGCTTAGAACTATTAATATGTATATGTTATGAAATATTCCAATACTAATTTCTTTTGTCAGAAGACAGAAGTATATAGTTTCAATCTGTTTACTTACTAAACAAGTAAAATTGTATAAATTAACTAAAAAAAAGTAAATATTAGCAAACATTTCTGCAGTATGTTAATTCATGATTACTCTCTCCATCTGGTGTTTAAAATTGGCTGGCTTTAAGTTTGAGGCAACCAAAGTAGAAACTTCCAATTCCTAGCTCTAAATACTGCTACTACTAGTAATAACAATACCAGCCAACATCTTTTGAGTGCTTATAATGCAGCTACTGTTCTAAGCACTTCACAAGTATTACTTGATTTAATCTTCAGGGCAACTTGGAGAAAGGCACTATTTTTTAAATTTTACTTTACAGATTTGTTTATTTAACAGATATTTATTGAGTACCTTTAAGTGCTAGGCACTATTCTAGGTGCTGGCTTATATCAGTGAACAAAACAAAAATCTGTTCTCATTTAGGGTCTAGCAAGGAACAATAATAAATACAATAGTAGGTTTTATAGTGTCAGAACAAAATAAACGGAAAAAATAAAATGTAGAACAGGGTAAGAGAGACTGAGAATGCAGCTCGAGGGTAGGGGTGAGCAAAAGCGTTGCAATTTTAATATAGTATAGGTAGGCCTTAGTGAGAGGGCTACATTTGAGCAAAGACTTACTTCAAAGTGAAGAAATGAAGGTCCAAAGAGATTAAGTAGCAGCTAAGAATAAAACAGCCGAAACTCAAACATAGACACCTGACCCCAATCCCGTGCTCTTAAATACCAAATCCAAATCATCTGGGGAGCTTGCTTAAAACCTGGGGCCCATGTTTGGAGTAGGGCCTGGATTTCCTAAATACAGTGTTTCCTAGTACACTAAAGTTTAAGGGCCAGTGATTTCAAGGTCAATCAGTAATCTCTTGGGAAAGTCTCTGATTACATCTTATTCAATTGCAAGTTGTTCTCTTTATGTTATTACTGTAGTTGTTGGTTGACTTTAATTGGCTCACTTTGAATGCCAGCCTTTGAAGAACAACCTTTAAAGAACATCAGGTGGGATCCCTGAGAGTATATGGTTTCATTGTGCTTGTATACTAAACAAGTGAACATGTGCTTTTAAATCCCAATTCAGAGAACTGTAGTTCTTGGCAAAAGGCAAGAAAATATTAACAAAATAAAAGACTTAGCCCCTCTTGTAACTCCTCTTTACTTCAGCCCCTGGGTTTGTGAAGAGGTGAATGCTATTTTTAACCACAACTCTTTTCAGACTATTTCTCCTTGCTCACCTTCAGTTGCACTTCCTCTTTTGGCAAAACAAGGGTGAATTTTGCACAGTTCTTTTCAGTTGAATTCTGGTCAGTAAGGCATGTGAGATCTGTTATGTCTAGTTTGTCAACATACTGCAAAGATAAACAAAAAACTCATTAAATTATTTCATGGATAATGCACATTAGTTCTAGCAGGAAGGAAAGTAAGTAATATCTTCCTTTCTACTGATTTGTACTTTATATAATCCCTAGTTTTCCCAATCCTACAGGGCATTTGGAAATATATTATATGGTGGGGTACTGGACTTGGCTCATACAGGTTTGCACTTATACTAGCATAGGGTTTGTGAAAGCCAATTGTTAAATTTTGAGGAAATTTGCAAGTCAGTTGTTAAACACAGATGTTATAAAAATTACATTATATAAACATGCCAGTAAATAAGTTACATTAAAAACAAAAGTAGTAAAAGCTCAAAATTCATCACTTTCTCATTATATTGCCACATTTTACTATTCTCTATGCTTTTGAGTTTATTTACATTTTGTTTCTGTATGGTGAAAATACTATATAATGGCGTGCTGTTGTGCCTTTCTTCCCAGCTCCACGTTCAATGAGGTCACACTGATAGGTTGAAATCAGCTATAGTAGGAGTATTTACACCAGGGAAATTGGTAAACCTCAAAAATCAGGGCTTGATTTCTTGTACTGTTGATTGTCCCAAGGGATGGCACTTTTTTCCTGCAAAAGGCCAGATAGTAAATACTTTAGGCATATATTCATTCTCTGTTGCATTTTTTTTTGGTCTTTTTTTTTTTTCTTTACAACGCTTTAAAAATGTAAAAATTATTCTTAGCTCAAAGAATATACAAAATCAGGTCATAGGCAAGATCTGGCCTAAAGTCCACAGATTGCTGGCTCCTAGTCTAGACTTAAGAAAGTGAAGGAGAAAATATTAATAGTGCAGATGAAACTTTAAAGTTTGTTGTGTCTGAAGCTGTTTCACTGTAAATAGAACAAATATTGGGTTGGTTAATGGGCACATAACAGCCATATAGGAAAAATAAATTCTATGGATGTACAATCGAGCTAGGCATCTATAATTAATAATTTACTGCATATTATCAAATGACTAGAAGTGAGATCAAACGTCCTTATCTCAAGGAAAGATTACGTTTTGTAATGATGAATGTGCTAATTACCCTGATTTGATCATCACACATTGTATACATGCATTAATATTCAACCCTGTACCCCTCAAATATGTATAATCAATACATTTCAATAAAAAATAAGAGAAAAGAAAAAGAACAAAAACTGACAAAATATTCTTCCAGAACTCAAAAACTATTATCTAATTCAGCAAAGAAGTTGCTCATGTCATTGACTATGACATGTATGTGAAGTTCTGACATACATTGTTTTACTTTCCTTTTACTGATTTTTTTTTTTTTTTTCAAAAGATGACCGGTAAGGGGATCTTAACCCTTGACTTGGTGTTGTCAGCACCACCCTCAGCCAGTGAGCAAACCGGCCATCCCTATATGGGATCCGAACCCGGGGCCTTGGAGTTATCAGCACCGCACTCTCCCGAGTGAGCCACGGGCCAGCCCCCTTTTACTCATTAATGTAAATGTAAAAATATCAGCCAACATTCATGTCAAATATCATGAATAAATTTATTAGGGAAACAGCACATTGAAATATAGCTCGATTTTCAAATCTTGATTGAGTTACAATTATATTTGGCTATATAGAAATTATAATACAGAGTATTGTGTACTTTTTAATTATGTGGTACACATTCTTTATATCAGTAATATTTATGTTTATGTATATATATATATATATATACATTTTTTCTAGAAAGCTAATTTTTTAACAATTCCTACTTCTAGGATTTTATTTTTGATATGGGGATTTGAACCCTTGACTTTGGTGTTATAAGCACCATGCTGTAACCAAGTGAGCTAACCGGCCAGCCCAGAAAGCCATTCTTTTATTATTTATCATATACTGCTGGTTATGAGGATCCTATCAAGGAATTCCTATCTTATCCAAATACAATAAAAATATTTTATATGAGCAATTGGTCTATATGGACTGGTCTGTATGCAAAGGGCCAGGCTTGCTCTCTAGCATTAGAAAGAACCACCTGTAGTAAGTGTAGTAGGGTTTTAAGTTACACTTTTTTGTTAAAAAAAAAACTATATTATTCTTTTCTTGACTTCTTTCTGTCTCCTTTTATTTTTCTCTCTGTTATGCCTAATATAACTTGTTTTACTGCATTCTTGTTAAGTCTCCTTATTTTATTTTTCTGAATGAGGTAGAGCATAAATACAAGTAAATACATTTTTTTCCAGAGCTATTTCCGTATCGATGAAGTTGAGGGTAAGTTTTGGTTGCCTATTTATTTTCGAAACAAAGAATAATTAAAAACAGAAGGAGAGGTACGAGAGAAGGAAGATAGAATTTAAAATTAAACAAGAATCTTTTTCTGATTGTCTAGATCAAGCTCAGTGAGTTTTGCTGTGACAAAGGAGGAAGTAACAGAGGAAGAGGTGCAGAGTCAGAGTGCAGTACACTGATCCATTATTAGAGGAAAGGAAGTCATATACTTTTGTTTTTAATTGTGGTGTTGTAAAGGGCCTAAAAGGTCATCTGTGTAATCTAGCCGCCATCTGATGCTTGAATACTACTCTAGGGTGACCCTCCATGTGGTCATCCAGCCTATGTTTGAATATCTCCAGCAACATGGATCTCATGCCTCCTAAGCAGCTCTGACTGCTAGCCAGTTTTTCCTTGTATTGAGCCAGTTTTTCTCTAGCTAATTTTCATCCATTGGTCCCAGTCCCTTTATTCCATAGAAAAAACCTAAACAGATTCAGTGACTTTTTTACATGACTTCCTGACAGCCTTTCAAATATTTAAAGGCACATTTAAATGTTTCCCTCCTATAGGCTGAAGACCTATAGTTCTCACCTGGTCTACCCCAGTGTTTTCTCCTAAGACTATCACCCCAAAAAACTTTCCAGAAGTTCTGGATTCTTTTTTAACAAAATTGGTAGATGTGCAATTCTGCGGCATTTTATTGTAACAAACCCCTTCATGGTATAGTGGTTAAGAAGGTTGGCTCAGAGGCTGGCTGGTAAGCTCAGTTGGTTAGAGCGTGGTGCTGATAACACCGAGGTTCAGGGTTCAATCCCTGTACCGGCCAACTAATAAAAAATAAAGAATGTTGGCTCAGTAGCAAGACCTGGATTGTACCATTTTTATTAATTATCTGACCTTTACAATTTCTTAATTCTTAAACTTGCCTATTTTCACCTATAAAATGGGGATTAAAATAGTACTCACTCTGCAGAGTTGTTGTGAAAATTAAATGAGATAATGCAAGTAAAATGCTTGAATGCTTATTATGTGCGAGATACACTCTTAACTCTTTACATGTACTATCTCATTTAATTCTTTTGATAGCCTATGACATGGTCTACACTTTTCATCCTAATTTTAGAGATTTGAAGACTGAATGTGTTGGGGATCTTTTGTTTTCTCCTCTAGATTCACTTTTATCCCCTTACCACCAATACTGTGTACCAGGAGAGGGACCTATATGGACAACATCAAGGGGCTTCCTTACCCTTTCACTTCAGGGTTGGACTCTAGAAAACATTGGCAGGAGATCAGAAGAGTGAAGAGAGTGAGGTTGTGTATTTATTACCCTGTATAGTTGCTCCCTTCATCAAAGATCAGATTCCTCTCAATGCAGTCATCCCCACACACAACTCTCCCCTCTACTCTCCCACTCTTTTCTTTCACTCCTAGGCATGATAATAGGGTACTCTTATTAGTCCCAGAGTTCTGTACTATCCTCAGTAATTTTCTTTTTTTTTCTTTTTTTTTTTTTTTAAAGATGACCGGTAAGGGGATCTCAACCTTTGGCTTGGTGTTGTCAACACCACGCTCAGCCAGCGAGCAAACCGGCCATCCCTATATGGGATCCGAACCCGTGGCCTTGGTGTTATCAGCACCGAACTCTACTGAGTGAGCCACAGGCCGGCCCCTCAGTAATTTTCTTATACCCTGTCCACTACTTTGAATATTTATTTATTTATTTATTTATTTATTTTGTGTGTGTGTGTGTGTGACCAGTAAGGGGATCGCAACCCTTGGCTTGGTGTCGCCCGCACCGCGCTCAGCCAGTGAGTGCACCGGCCATCCCTATATAGGATCCAAACCCACGGCCTCGGCGCTCCCAGCGCCGCACTCTCCCGAATGAGCCACGGGTCTGGCCCTTGAATATTTATTAAACCTTTATTAAACTCTCTTCAAATTAGCCAATTTGAAGACACATCTATTTCCTACCAGTTTCCTGTCTGATACACTGAGCCAGAGAGAGGTTAGATAACTAGCCCAAGATCTCACAGTTAATAGTGGCAGGATCAGGATAAAAACCCAGGCAGTCTGTCTGGACAGACCAGGCTCTCAATCACTAAGCTCTACTGCCTCTTGCCACGTAGTAAATGACAATAACTGTTAGCTGTCTCTTTTACTGTGCATTATACAAGGTTTAGACCAGGGTCTTTTATATTTACTGACATCAGTGGTAAGTTTGAATGCACAACAGAGAAATCATTTTTATAAATTGTATTTGAAAACACCCTTGTATAAATTTTGTCTATTCAGAACTCTGGTGAAAGATGATCGTTTTAAGTTTTTGTTGTTGTTTTGTTTTTTTTTAATGGTTTCTGCCTAGTTCACCACTAATGTCACTGAAATGCCTATAGGTGTAATACATCACACAGTTTCTTTTTTTGTTTATTTCATAGATCTGGGCATCTAATAATGATATTCTAAGAAGTGTGGGCTACTATATACAGGGTCCAGAATGTTTAAACAAGTTACTGGCTCATAAAATCTATTGTAAGTATAGCATTCCAAGGTAGGCAAGCATTTGCCACTAAAACACGACATGTAATTCATGGAAAAATGAAACAAACATGCAATCAGAATTTGAAAATAATACAAATAAATCAATCCTAGAATCCCTTTATTGTTATTCTCATGCCTAAGCTCTTAGAAGTCCTGCTTCCTGGGGTATGTTTTTGTCTTTCCAGAAACATTAAATTGTGACATTTTATGTTATGATTCTCTAGGGATCATCTTGTTCCTTTCAGATTATAACTGCACACTACAGCAAGACAAAAAGTGGAGGAAACTGAAATTATCACTTAGTATTAAACAATTTATATCCAAATGTCTTTCCGAAATGTTAACTTTTATTTATTTATTTTTTTTGTGGCTGGCTGGTACAGGGATCCAAACCCTTGGAATTGGTGTTAACAGCACCACACTCTACTGAGTGAGCTAACTGGCCAGCCCCTAAAAGTGTCACTTTTAAACTAAGTTTTAATTATGAAGATCAGAAAGAAGAGAATACACAGTTAAAAATGTGAGTTAATACTTTCTGAGTTGCCCAGAAAATTTTGCTATTGGTCTTATCATAATTGACAGCCTTCGCAGATTTAAATTTTCTTATTTGAATTGATCTTACTAGAGAATCTTTATTCTTGGATAGCAGAAAATCCAAAATGAATAACAGACTATATGACAAGGGTATATTGGGAAAAAATTGAATCAGCTGAACATATTTAACTACTTACTATTGTACTTTTTTTGTCGGTATAAAAGAAAAGTGTAGTTCCTCTCAACTCTGTCCAATAATGTTTATACTCCTGCGGGAAAGAAATCATAAGCATTATTTCATTAGTGTACATTTAATCATTTTCCTATTGATATTTTTCTTTGTAACTTTCTTAATTGCTTGTTTGATACAAGGATATTAGTTTTGTTTTGTTTTGTTGCTTTTGGGTGGCTGGCTGGTACAGGGATCTGAACCTTTGACCTTGGTGTTACCAGCACTGCAGTCTAACCAACTGAACTAACCAGCCAATCCCAAGGTGCTTCTTTATCCTGGATAATTCATCTAATTTTTATGGCTTAACTTTGCATTTAATTCTCAATTAAATTCTTGTCAAATTTACTGTATTTTGGCATAATGTTTGAGGTAAGGATATAATTTGATTTGTATTTATATAGATCACTTCTAAAAACTTTCCTTATTGATATAAGACTTTTTACACAGTTTCACTGAAGCTTGCACATGCAAAGGCCATTTAAAGGCCCAGATTAGGACAAACATATAATATCTACCTTCTGGGACAGATGAAAAGATTGAATGGATTAATACGTGTAAAGCACTTAGCAGTGTACATACCTCATAGTTTGAGTTCAATAAATGTTATATATTATTGGTATATATCAAAGAAATGTGAGAAATTGATAATAAAAATAATTTAATGCCATCAAAGCTGAATTTTTAAGTTGAAATTTCATTCTTATGGAATATTTAATTATTAATATATTTACATTATTATCAGTTCTATAGAAATACAATTTTTAAGTTTAAAATATTTAAATAACTTAGACTCCCGTTTTACTCAAGTGAAAGTTTATTTAAATAAATATAAAGGTTGGCTGTACTACAAAACAATGGCAAGTGAGCTTAAAGAATAAAATTCTTCCATACCTAAGACTTACCTTCCTACCCAACTCTTTCCAAAAGCATGTTTTAAAAAATTCCAGTCAGTTTAATAGTCATGTTGATCATTCCTTCCTTTAAGGTATAATAAACTGAATTTTTGCAACTTGTTGAATGATTGTGACTTATCTATTGAGAATTAATGTAAGAAAATCACATAAAATTTTTTTTCTTTCTTTTATTTTGTAAATGTGAAGACACTTTTTATCATGGTATTTTGTCTGTTCAATATTGACATATCATTTATCCTTTTTTTTTTTTTTTTGTCCCTTTTGAGACCGGCCGCACCATGCTCAGCCAGTGAGTGCACTGGCAGTCATCCCTATATAGGATCCGAACCCACGGCGGGAGCGCCGCTGTGCTCCCAGCGCCACACTCTCCCGAGTGCACCACAGGCTCGGCCCTCATTTATCCTTTTTAAAAATTAAAAAAAATTTTATTTACTTATTTTCATTGAAATGTTATTGATTATACATATTTGTGGTATCTTTTTCTGACCAGCAAAATGTTTGTCACCTCTTCAGAATTTATATACTTATTTTCTCAAGTAATGGGAATTCTATAACCCAATCTTGTTTTTATTTCCCTGGCTCCCAGGAAGCTAAAGATTACATTCATTCTGAATTATAACCACCATCTTTTCTCATGTTCTTGGTAGAACTATTTTCTTCCTTTGTCTTCATAGCTAATACGGACTATATTAGTTTGCTGTTTCTTTGTAACAAGCTACCCTAAAACTTAGTAGACTGACACAGCAAACATTTTCTATTTCTCACCATTTTGTGGCTGGCTGGTGGTTTTTCTGCTCTGGGTGTACTTGGCTGTGGCTGAATGGTCTAAGGTGGTCTCACTCACTTGTCTAGGGTCTTAGCTGCAAATGAGAGAATGACTGGGAAGCCCGGGGCAATGGAGTCTCACTCCATATGGTCTCATCCTCTAGTCAGCTTGCCTAGACTTGTTCATTTGCTGGCAGAGGATTGCTAGGAGGGAGAGAACAAAACCCAATGTGTGAGCATATTCTAAGCCTCTGCTTTTGTCAAATTCACTGAAATATGTTACATGACCCAGTCCAGATTCAAAGGGTAGGAAAATAGACTCAACCTCCTTATGGGAAGGAAGAAAAGTCTCATTTCAAAGGGAGATGCATACAGGGAGGCTCAAGCAAATAGGCAGTGTAACTGCAGCAATCTGCCTCAGGGGCAGAGTTGGAACTGGGGTAAGGTACCTTTGACCAAGTCCTGTGGTCTTCCCACTCCATCTTACTCCCTACTCCCTATTGAGAGCCATTTGTAACATGCAGTGGATGTGCTGAGGCCTCCTGAACCAAGAACAAATAACCATAGTAAAGAACAATTCCAAAAGGCATATGATTCAAGAATCAGCCAATAGATGGTCCCCAAAGGTGCAATAATAAAATTGAGCAGAGAGGTTCTTCCTCTGTCTGAAATCCAGGTGCCCAATATATACCTGACACATGTCAAAGTCAAGCAGTTTAATAAGACAAGAAAACGAATCTTAATTTCAACCTCATCAGAAGTTCTTCTCTTTTTTCCTTTTCATGTTGAATGGATAGTGTTATGGCCATTGCAATAGCCCTTTACCTGGTCTTTCTGCCACTTTCTTACACTCTCCAATCTATCCTGCACAGTGCTGTCAGAGTGAATTATCTCCTACGCAGAGAATAGCACTGAGTATCTAACAGGTGAGGTTGGGAGGCACCACACTTAGTTCAGCTCCTTCCTCTCATTTCTTAGCTCAATCTACTAGGAGAGAGTGAGTGTTCTGCTCTGTTTCCTGGCTTCAAGGAAAAGAGCCCCCAAGAGGTGCAGGCTCCTGTCTCTCAAGCTGAGTCAGTGACTCTAGGTAGCTCAGGGATACCTAAATCTGGAATAAAATGTTAGCACAGTATTGGTCTCAAATCTAAATAACATTGGGCCGGCCTGTGGCTCACTCGGGAGAGTGCGGTGCTGATAACACCAAGTCAAGGGTTAAGATCCCCTTACCGGTCATCTTTAAAAAAAAAAAAAAAAAATCTAAATAACATATTGATGGACTTTATCAATAATAAAACTAATTGATCTTCATTTGTGCGATTCCTATGTCTGATTGGTTTCAAACTTGGGGGAAGAAAAATCCAGTAAAAGGGTACTAAAATGTAAAGGGAGGCAGAAGAAGTGGGGGTGACTGCTCATGGAGTTTCTTTTTGAAATGATGAAAATCTAACTGAACTAGACAGTGGTGATGGTTGTACAGGTTTGTGAATATATTAAAAACCATTGAATAATAGTTATTGTGTCTCCTGTGTGATAGTTCACTGTTAACGGACCAAGAATAGAAGTAGTAGAATCAGTCTCCTGTTACTGTCTCATAGAGTAGTTGAAGAATGGAATGGAATAATAATATATGTAAAGCACATAGAACCTGGGACATAGCAAGTATTCAGTAAATGTCGGCCACTAAAAAAAGAAAAGAGAGAAAGAGAGCATTGCATCATCATTCACATTATTCACAGGTACCTTGCACTTTTTATTATTCGCATCATAATTTTTCCATAATTGGTATGTGTGCATGTGTGTGATGGTGGTGGGGTCTAAAAATCTCTAAAATAGATCTCTTTCAATGGGATATGTATGAGAAGGAAGAGATATTTTGTTAACCAGAATAATGAAAGCCATTGTCACTCCTATATAAAATCACCCTTTTATGTTTTTCTAAATAAAGAGATAAAAAAACTATTGAGAAATTTGGCTTCAGAAGTTGCTAATATATACTGGCACCGTGATTAGGCAGATGTTATGTAAAACCCATGGGAGTGACTAGTCTTTTACTCTTTAGAAAAATATTTTAACTTTCTCAGATTTGACCTGCAATTAATTAACAAAATAATTCAAATTTATCTTGGGAGTTGTTTTGTTTTGCTTGTTTGTTTGTTTATTACTCTTTTTAAGGCTTTCATGCCCTGCTCTAGTGGTAAGCCTCTGCAATAAGGGAGTAAAGAATAAAATATTCTGTATTTTGGAAGTAGAATGGGGGTGAGGAAGAGTGCAGGAGGAGATGGGTATGTAGGTATATTGTTCAGAAAACTTAACCATTAGCTGTCTAGTTTTACTAAAGTACGGCTTCTAAGATCTAGTTCAACCGTAAGATTGTATAATTCTTGGCGGAAAAGAAAGCAAGAAAAAATCCTGAAGTCACAGTCTTCTACTCTGTTCATTTTCTTAATTCATCTCATTAGTATTAAACTGCTATAAGATAGAACAACTAATGTCACTAATAGCCAGTCAAGGTTTATTGAGTTCCCTCTATATGTACACTCAGACATCCATTTGCACTCCTGAGAAAAATTACAGAGGTGTTCAGTCAGGAGAGAATGATATGAATTGGGTAGAGTTAATCAGGGAAAACGGGGAGTTTTACATGTAAGCAAACCTATATGTTAATGGAAAAGATTAGGAGGATTTATTAAATGGAAGAAGAAGCAAGTATAAAGGCATTGAGTTCAGAACAAAGTCAGCCTTGGAGGAAAAGTAATGTTACAAACAGCAGTAGACCCTGTAAACTGCAATAGCCACAAACATAAGGACAGACCAAACTTGTATTCAGTATGCAGAGACCTGTGTGTGTTCAGTATACACAGTCTTGATTTAGTTTCTGATAAGGTATCATGAATATTAGTATAATCTGAGTCATCTATAAATATTAATCTCAATAATCAAAATACAAGTATATATTTATATCTACAGAGATACTTAAATATTTTTAAAAATTTTTAAAGGGCACATCTTTGGATGAAATGCATTGAGTATAAAGTCTTTCATTTTTAACGATAATTTGTGTTAAATCACTAAAGTAAGAAAAGGGACAAAAATGAAACTTCTGAATTTAAAGCTAGTTTCATAATCTCTAGATGACCTTGTATTTAGAATTTAAGGTCAGTGTCTCATTTTCATTCAAATTAGCAAATAATTTTGAAAGTATACTGAGCTTGCTGCTGAGCTCAGTGTGATAAAATATCTAGTGATTAGACTTCTCTAACTTGGAAGCCTACAATCAAATGGAAATAGAACTTGAGTTTGAGAGGCAATATGATGTCTAGCGCACTGCAGTCAGATCCAAGGTAGGGTCCTTAATGGATAAGCAACCTTGTGAGCCATAAGCTCTGTGAGCCACAACTCCCTCACCTGTGAAATGGATAAAATAGTTTCTACCCAGAAGAGTTACTGTAAGTCCCAGAGTGACAGGACATTAAGAGCCTACCATGATAGTCACCATATGTCAAACCTCAAGAGAATGTACCCATTATTATATAGTCCATTTATTCATCACAGCAACCCACTCAGTTATGCAAGAGAATAATTGTCCATTTTATGTAGGAGGAAACAGATTCAAAGATTTTAAGGCATTACCCAAATTCCAGACCTGAACTGATATTTTTGTCTCCTGACTCCCCAGTGCTCTTCTCTCATTGACTTCACTAGTAAAAATAAGTTACAATGAAACTCCAGTTAAGTTTCTCTCTATCCCCTTCCCCAATAAAAAGTTTTCATTCTTTTTCTTCTGAGCAAGGTAAGTGCATTTGCCTGAGGAAGGATGTTGTATAGTGGTCTCCAAAGTGGGGTACATAAACCCCAAAAGTGTGTAAGATGATCCATTGGGAAAGAAACTTTTAGAATATCTAATTATATTTCATTTTTAATTCATTTTTGTGTGTATATTTAATAATTTATTGGGGTATTAGTATAGGAGAACATATATATACTTTTAAAATAAAATAGTATTTTTATATTAGGGATCTGTGGTCAAAATGTTTTTTGAAAGGTGTGTTATTATTTTAAAAATGTAAAGATTACTTACTGTTGTAGAGGACTGTGTCTGAGAACACAACTTAGCCCTAAAAATTTTCTAAATGAATTAGAGATGAATAGAGAACTAGTCAGAGAAATGTCATTTTGATAGTTACAATTACCACATTCTTCATTCTCATGTTCAGGCTAATAAGAAAGATTACACACATTATTTTTTAACTTTAGCATATCACAGATTGAAGGAACTATGAGCTGTGGTCAAACTCTGTTATTTTTAAACAATTCCAGAAAAATGAGAATTTTTTCCATTTGTGAGAACTGCAGTGTCATTGGTATCCCTTCGTGGTTTTTAGCAGATTTTATTATCAAATACATCCTCCTGGTCAATCCAGAGTCTTAGTGCTCTGGTTTAAGTAAATCTTTCCACATACTCTTTTTCCTGAAGATTATATACTTTTCATGGGTTCTTGACCTGAGATCTAGGGACTTTCTGGAGTTGCATGCAAAAGGTGAATGTTGGCACATTTTCCTGGGGCAAAGCTCCTTAAATTCTTAAAAGTGCTCCATCACAAAAATGGCTATGAAACACCCCTCAGTATGTAATCTCTTTATAAACCAGGTTACTCCTCAATTATATTTTCTCTAGTTTAAATGTTTTAAATTCTTTCAGCAGAAAACCCACTTAACATTCTGCAGAGCCTCTCAACTTCCTCCAGCCCACTAGCTCCAAAGGTGACCTGGCTATATGCTCTTGGTTCCCTTCCTGTCAGAGGTTCCCTGGCACTTTGCTGCCAGTGGCTTGGAAATCCTACTTATTTTCCTTAGCTTTTTCTCATAGCTTATACTTTCAAACACTCTAATTATCACTGTGGTTTTTCTTTGAGCCATATTACCTGTGGACCCCAAACTGATTTTAATATATTAATAAAAATTTGACAATTAAATGGTAAGAGAATGAATCTAACCTTTGGTATGAGTCAGGTGTTTTAAATATGTTATACCTTTAATCCTTGAAACCACTCAATAAGTAGCCATTATTGTCATCCTTTTGCTCTCTTCTACCTGACACAAATAAAAGGCACTTTGCATGAATTTGAATGGAAACAGAAGTTAATTTCATCAGAAATATTTAATAGTATATTCACTCCATTTCAAATTATGCTTTCTAAGAAACTAAAAAAAAGGAGCAACTGTGTAAGGGAGTCATCACTCCTACTAAACTAAGCCTCTTGAAAGTAGGGTCATTGTGTTTTACTCATATTCTCCAGAACTGAGTGTCATGCTTGGTGCATAGGAGACACACAATAAACATTGCTTGAGTGAATAAATTGATTGCGTACCTCCTGTATTCCAGACATTGTACCTTGGGAAGCAAATATAATCTCTCCAAGCTGTAAGTGGCAAAACCATTAGTTAAAGACGTTTTATTGACACTCTAAAATTCTTGTTCTTTCTTTTGACTGTACCAATGGCATACTTTCTTTAAACATTAAAAGGAAACTGCTATCAGAAACAGTTATTATAAATACTTTTAAAAACATTCAGTAAATAACCAAATTTAAATTACAAATTAGAAATTTCTTCTCAATTCCCCTTTCCTGGTAAAGTGTAACAACATGGCAAGATTGAATTTACTTTAAAACTATATAGACCAATCAAAAAATATTCCAAAATAACTGACATATATTACTAACACATGTTTAACACCCACAACAAAATACAAATGACCAGGTCTTTACTCTCAAATAGTAAGTGATCTGATTATATATAAGAAAATATATATATTATATATATATATATATGTAAGAAAAATGAATGTACTATTAAAGATAATTTTATATACACAATTTTTCCATATATGTTGATGAATCCTCAGAAAATAAATTTTATTATCATCATTAAACCATTCTTATGGCATCTCTGAAAACACTTAAAATTTTTCTAGTTTCAGTCAATATTTAAATGTTATCAAATTTGACCTGTTAATGATTTCTTTTTTTTTTTTAGTGTCAGGCATTTCATATTTATTTCTGTCACTATTTTCAAGTTACCCACAATTACTATTTTAAAAGCAATGATTTTAACTAAATATAGGTTTTAATTTTTATATTTTAAAAATATGAAACACTTTGTGAATTTTCTTAGAGCAAATGTAGTTAAATAGGTAAGTGTACTTAATACCCACAAAAGCACCCTAAATATTATCTTTTAAAGTCACTATCTTGAAAAATGTTTTTAGAATGTATAGCTATATATAATGTTAAGTAGTATCAATTTATCATTTTTATAAAAGTTAATTATTTTTTATAATTTGGTCATTTTAAACTTCAAATGCTCTTGGATAGAGCGTGGTGCTAACTCCAAGCCCCCAAGGTCAAGAGTTCAGATCCCTGTACTGGCCAGCTGCCAAAATAAATAAATAAATAAACAAACTTCAAATGCCAAAAAAATGGGAGCAGAAGGTTTAACTTCAATTATAATATCATTTTATCTTAATGGTACATTTCATCATTAAAGCATAGTTGTAAGTTGTGAAGAAAATATAAGAAACACTTTATCCCCTAAGCCTAAATCTTCTGTGATGTTTAAATGAATCTTTGGAAATTTAGCTTATTGACTTTTTATATTAGGGGATTAATTTTAGAAGCCTATGTTATTTTATACATATTATACATACATATTCATATATATTTAAATCATGCATTGTATTTAAAATATATGAAATTGGAATCATTTTCCTGAGCACATACAAAGAGAAACAAGAAATCTGTCACATCACATCACCATGAAATTAATTTTATACTGAGACAGAAGTTTCAGGTTTAGCATAATCATCTACAGACTTACCTGGTATTCTGGCCGTTTGACTAATAAAAAACCTTCAAAGTACAAGGGGAGAGCAGTAATCTTCAACCTTTCCTGGAAGATCCTGCGAGGGGCTGGTTTTGGGGTCTTCTTAGCCATCATCCCCTCTCTTTAACGTGTAGTTTGGTTTCAGCTGTATCCAGTCCTAACCAAAATGAAATCTCCCTCATGTGAGAGGAAAAGGCATCTGTTCAAAGAGGAAGTCCCAATTTGCCTTTTAACCACCACCACTACCACCCACAGGACACACACACCCATACGCACACACTTTTTTCCTTTAGTTTTTGTGAGGTAAGAAAGAACAGGCATAGACCAACTTTTAGAGGGCAAGTTCTGAGTAAACTACATGTACTTAGATTTACAGAAGAAAAATAAACAGAGTTAACATCACCTGAGGATGAAAGAAACAGGTGTAGAGATTGTGGACTTTAGGGGAGACATGAAGGACACATTTGTTGTTTCCCATCTTGTTTTTTTCTTTTTGAAAATTTTTTTATTGCTGTCCATTTCCATTTCTAGAAGACATGACATGAATAAACTCTATTTCATTAAAAATGACCTAATAGGATAGTTATATTAGTACTATTTCTGTTGGTTAAATAGTTCAGAGCCAAGCTTTGTTAAAGTTTTAAAAAAAAAGTTCTATCTCATGCTCATTTTGATGGTTCACTAAATATAAACCACAGTATGGGAACATGGGATTTTTTCACTCTTTTGTCAATAGATATTTTGAGTACATCCAGTGGATATTTGGGGGGGGGGATATCCAGTAGAGAAAGCTATACATTTTAAAACTTTTATTTTGTTCTTTCATGCTTTCTGAACTATGGATCACTGATACTATGATCCATGGATGGGGTTCCCATAGTTGTCTAGTAAGATTCATAGAGCTACATTGGGACCAAAATGCACCCAATAGTTGCATGTGGGAAATGGTCCTTGAGAAATTGGATTCAGCCCAGCACAGAGCAGGAAATGATGGGAGAAGGCAATGTTAGAAGGAATTCTGATTTGTTTTACCTGAATCCTAAGAATTTCACGTTACCTATTCCACCTTCGATATTTCAGAACTAGTCTAGATTTGGGATAGCCTGGGCCTAGTTAGACTAGCCTGTTCACAGGAATCTCCACTCTGATCTTCCTTTCCTAATGGAGAGATCACAAGGTCTTCCCCACTAGTATGGGTCACATGGAATCTGCAGCTGTAGATATGGGGAGCCAAATTGTCTACAAAGTGAGAACCATACAGACTGATCAGCAGTAGAGTGTTATGATGCATTACTGAAATGAAAACAGTTTGAAACAGAAATTGGGAGTTGAAGATTCAGAATTACTACCTTGCTTTTATAGTAAGTCTAGACCTGCTTCCTGCTACCCAAATGATAAAATATAAGTCCAACTTAATTTTTTTGAGATAAAACCGTAACAATTTTTTTAGTTTCATTATACTAAAAAAGTGAGTTGAATGAATAGGAAAACCTCTTCATTGGATAAATGACTTAGCTCACCTTCTTGGTAGCTGGTAGCTGATGTAATACAGGGAAAAGGTGAAGTGAGAGATGAGAACTGAGAAATGAAAAGAGGAAGGGGGAGGAAAATAGGATGTTGGAAATATCAGTAGTTGGAATATGAGAATAATTGTCACTGACTTTATGACCAGAGAGTTTCATGGGAGAAAGAAAAGAATGCCTCTAGAAAAATGTAAAGATGGGAATATTTTTGTGAAATGACTCTCTGGTTAATTGTCTTTCTTATCTTTTTAAAAAATGAGCAAAATTTTAAAAAACAGTTTATCAGACACTGGTAAGTTACTTTGGTCTGCTGATTTGTAAGACAACTTGATTCCTAATATACCAATGATCAAATTATATCTCCCTAAAAAACCAAAACCAAACCAAAACAAAACAACAACAAAAAACCAAACTACAAAATGCAAAAATCCTGCTTAAACATTATTAGCCAGGTAGACCTGTCTTCAATTACCACTGCACCATTACAATGGAAATTCTCCCATATATCTCAAGTGAATAATGAATGTGTAGGTGAGAAAAAGTAGTATAAAAAGTGGTTGGGCATTGGGAGAGAAACTAATTTTGCTGCTAACCAGCTCTGAGACCTTGAATGAACCCCTTAACTTCTCTGGGATCACAGCTTCCTCACCTATAAAATGAGGGGATGAACTAATTAACTTCTTGTCTGAGGAGTTGCAATAGGCTTCAAAGTAGTCTCCTAATTGCCATTTCTTTTCTTCTCTGATTCCTTTAAAATGCGACCTAATCAAGACACTACCCTGCTTAAAACACTTTAATGGATTCTTATGGCTTTTGTGATTCCTACTTTTATTTTTTCACTGAACACTAAATAAATATTTATTGGGTACCAACAATGTGCTCAAGCACGGTACACAAAGTCCTTCATAGCAGTGCCCTTTAAAACTTTAAATCCTCAAAATATCCTCTGCTCTGGTGATTCTGTTTACTCCCAGTTGTCTCAATACCCTATGGTCTTTCCTACCTTCTCATATTTTCTCAATTATTGCATTCTGTGCCTGGGTGCCCTTCCTTCCCTTTGTTTATATGACAATGTCCTACTCATTCTTTAAGACCCAGATTGAATCTATCTTTGTAAAGATTTCCTGATTTTATGAAGCCTTCCTCATTCCTAAGGGAAAAGTTTATCACTTTCATTCTGCATTTTCATAGGACTTTGCACATTTCTTTATTACAATACATTTATTTGTCCCATTGTATTTTAGTTATTGGTATACATTCTGTATCAACAGAAAACTGAGTTTTTTGAAGGGAGGAATTATGTTGGAGTAGAGATTATAGATTGCAATAGCATTTATTTAATGAATAGCTTCCAGCTCAAAAATCTGATTTTAATTAGGAGAGTTGTTAGCTTCCATTTTGACAGGTGTTTTCTTTTTTCTGATATATGTGACCACTGGTTGACTTATGATTGTTTTTTGCCATTTAGAACAATTGTTACTTTCAAATATTGAAAATACATAACAGCCCGACTATTACAGCCATCAGTAGCATCTGTGTCACAGCAGTTTGTTATAAATCAGGTTATATGGCAAATATAACTCGACAGCTTTGGAAGGAGGATAAGATTAACTCATATAAAACCAAAATATCAGTGCTCTTTTGAGTCATCGATGTTATAATACCATTCAAGTCATTGGATGTACAGTTTTATAATAGTTAAGGCTCCATATAAATGGAGCCTCCTTCATTTAAGATCCTTCAGTGCTTCTTTAGGGAATAAGGTGTATTGGTGCTTAACATCCATCCATTTCAACCCCTTCTGATGTGCCATTCTTTATTGCAGAGGCTGAAAAGCTGAAAACTACATTTCCCAGACTTCTTTGCAGCTGGGACTGGGAAGCATTCAACATGACTGGCATGACAAAAGAGAAGCAGAATTCATTCTTATGCTGCCTTTGGTTTTTCTAACCAAAGAAAAGGCAAGCATGTTCTGTAGGCATCTGATTTTTCATGTTATCCGAATTCCCAATGTTTGATCACTAGTTTTATGGGTATTGATAGTCAAGCCATGGGACACCAGTTTTGCTGATCCATGTCATATTAGGTATGGTGTGGTTCTGGAGTTAGAAGCAGTAAGGCGGCTTGCTGCTCAGTGGAGGATTCTCATTTGTCGTGGCTCCCATAATGTGGCAGTTTTGTAATTGTGGTGGCTTTCTGATTTCACAGTGTCAACATGGTCTTGGAGACATCAACATTAGCACAGCTTTCCAATTTTTCAGTTTACTTCCTGACTTTAGAAACAGCAGCTGCCTCTTGGTGGCTTAGCTTTGCAGACCCAAAATACAGTACAAAGTTTCTGCTTTCCTTCCAATAATTCTTTGAGCTATTAAATGCCCATAGTAGATCTCCTTTTGCCCAAACTAGCTATCACAAATTTTGTTCTATGTAACTGACCTCTAATCAATACAATTCCTCATTGTCTATAAAATAAGTAAAAGTTATCCTCACATCAAAGGTGCTCCATAATCTAGTTCCATTTTGCTCACATAATAGCTTTTCAGTATCAGACAAATTTTCTCTTTCCCATGTCTTTGCTTGCAGTTTATCTTCCCATTTCCTCCACCTTTTAAAAATCTTTTAGGTACTACCTGCATGCTACAGTTTTGGCATTTTATCCTTTATGAGTTTTTATAGATACTTGAATTTACAAATATCCTGTATATCATGCCCTATATGTACTTAGTTTAAAATAATCCAAGCTTAGCAAACACTATGATAATTCACCAAAATATGCTTACTCTGTCATAAGTTATAGCTGAGAAGGCAGGCATTGTTCACACTACTCTTGAGAACTTTTTTTACAAAGAACTAAAACACTTTAATTCTCAGTGTTTCTAATACTTTGTTATAATGTACTAAATAAATGTTAGTTTTACTATTTTTTTCATTTCCCTGTACATTTATAACTGACATTAGTTAGTTAATGTTTTGACAAAACTTATTAAAGGTCATGAAACAATTGGAATTTTCCCCATTGATTATTAAAATTGCTTTACATGGTTTCAGCTTAGATGGTCATTTTTACCGTCCTGCACTACTTTGCAAAACAATCACTGCCTGAAATTTAGAAGTCCTCTTCTACATTATCTGCCACTTTTCACTCAAGGTAATTTAAATCTTTACAAGGCCAAAATTATAATGCAGAACTATATTATTTAGCTTTTGAAAATCTGTGTGTTTTTGTTGGGGAAAAATAGGAAAATGGTCAGGGACCCTCAGATGTTCAGAATCTTGCTGAGCATTTGCTGTAAATATCCTCAAGTGTTCCTTTTTACTACTTAATGTAGATTGCATATGGGCAGCTAGGTGTCCAGGGTTGTGGACTTAAGTATAAAAGACTAACAGCTCTGATCCGCAGTGCTTCTCAGAACTCTCAGAGAAGCCACTAGGACAGTTGCTTCTAGATCTGAATAAAACCCATTCATTTTTCTATACCTACGGCTCCCAGAACCTTTTTTTTCTATTACCTAGGTCACAGTGTAGAGGGTTTCTAACCCAATCTGTGCAACAGACTTGAGGAGTCAGTAAGCCCTAGCTTTACAATTGGCATAGTCAGCAGGATATTTGAGCAGGTACA